CAAATGAAAGCCATGGAAAACCACTTCTATTGCCAAAAACAACAAAAAAAACAACAACAACAAAAAAAAAACCCATACATGGATGTGTTTGAATAATTGTCAGACGTCCATTTCAGCTAGAATGATACTTGTATCTTTTGTCTAAAAAAAGAGCTCTTCCAATACAAGAAAATAGGAAGGAAATACTTGAAATAAGTTTAGGTCAGGTCTATCCACCAACATCTAACCTTCCCCCATTTTGTTGCTTGACATGTCATCAGAGGAACATCAAATGCCTGTCTCCTAATCATGACTTCTGGGCTTCTCTTCCCCACTCTGAGTGGAGGAAAAAAAACCTGGAAAACCACAAAGCATGTGATCTGCACTATCAAAGTCAGGGCCATAAATGCCACCATGGCAGGAGCACAAGGATGATTCAATGCTTGCTGTCCCTCCAAGAAAAATTCCTCAATCCCACAAGCTCCCTGATTGGTGGCCAAAAGTTGTAGAACTGCCATTTAAATAATTTGGGTGGGCTTTCTGGATCTAAAAGGGGAAAAAAGCTTCTGCAAACAACCCACTTATCAATCGATGATATGTTTTTAAAACCTTGAATCAATTGACTAGATTTTAGAGCTGTACACATTACATCTCTGCTTTATGGTCTAATAAATTAACCAATAAGCAAAATATCATACATAATTGATGTTTGAAAATGGGTTTTTATGGTTTGCAGCAACATAATTCATGTATTAAATAGCTCAAATTATTCAAATCATACCTATTTTTCATACAAAAGCAAGTAATCTGAAGAAATGTTTCATCCTTTCATAAATAAAGTTTTTATTTTTTTAATACCTAATAATGTAATGTGGAATATAAACTGATAGGAGAAATATATTTAGGCAAAATAAACAATGTGTAAAATCTGCATTAATATTTTGCTATTGGATTTCTTGCCCAATTTTAATGTACTGGTGTTCTTCAGTGGCACTATGGAAAACATTTCAAGCTTATTACAATTCTCTCTTCTTTAGACCACAAGCTCTTTCACTCTAAATTAAGATCTAAGTTGGTTTTAGATGATAAACGTTTGTCTGATAAAAGGTAATGAAAGGCTGCTTTTTCACATGACAAAATTATCTTTTTCATGTGTTGGGAAGGCTAAAAATAGCTCTTTTCTGTAAAAATGTTCATAAATACTACCACAGAATAGAAATGAGCCTAGTAAGAAATCTCAGAATAATTTTACATTTTTAAAGACAAGCCTAGTGTAAGGTATCTACTACATATATTATCTTTATACTGGCTCTTCCTTAATTTTACTTTTCTTACTATATTTAATTTCTGCGCCATTTTAAACTATCAGTTTTCCAGAGGTTAGCATCATGGTCTATGTAAGGAGATTTTGAGAAAAATGTGTCGGTTCTTTTCCCTATACCAAAATTATTTTCTGAATTAAAAATTTGTGGATCATTTATTTAAGCCTGGATTTCATCTTTTAAAAGGACGAGTCCAATTCATTAGTGATACCTGCATACAGGTATCATTTTGTTACTTAGTGGTAGGTTATACTTACCAGCTGCCTAACTATTGCCTCTTTCATTCCAGCTACAATATTTCCTTTCACTCCAGCGTATTCAGACTGTCGGTTTCTACCAGTGTAAAATGAAACTCCAGGGAAGTCAACTTCAATAAAGGTTCTAGTGTGCTTCTTTGGGGGTCATCTCCTTTCAGTACAAACCTGTCTAATGCTTTCTGCAAAAGGAGCCTTCATAGAGTTTCATTCATTAATCATTTAAAGGGAGGAGGTTTTAAGTTTAGTGTGGCATACCTGTTAAATTGATGTGACTAAGAAATAATAAACGATGGTGGTTCAGTAGGTCAGATGCTGAAAAGAAATATCCATCTCATCCAGATCTCACAATTACCTTCTAGAGATAACAAAGCAGAGTAAAACTATCTCTTTCCCTCTACAATAGTGGCAACTAATGTGCATTACATTGTCCCTTCCCTCATGGTGATATGGTAAAATAAGAAGATTGTAGTCATGGCGAAAACACACTAGCAAGCAAGTTAGTTTTCCAGATGATTTGAGTTGTCTGTATTGTCTCTGGGCAACCCTATCCTCAATCAGAATAAATTTCATTTGTTTGAACAGATGGATTTTCTCTATAAGAGAGCCATATGTTGACACTACTACATCATATGTCAATGTTATAAAGGAATGATAACTTACCTGTAATGACACTGCTAGCTGAACAATGCACCATTTTCTCTTCTGAATACTCTCAGCAAAGACCAAATCTTAAAAACTGTCCTTCTACCATCTGAGTCAGTTAATAAACCAAATGTGAAAGATTATGAAGAGCCCAATTATATTTCAGTTAAAGCCCCTTCCCTGAATGTGAATTTACTGTATATACTCAAGTATAAGCCTAGTTTTTCAGCCCACTTTTTGAGCTGAAAAAAGCCGCCTCGGCTTAT